AATTTTAAAACAATTTTTACGAATTTGGATAAATATTACGAACGAGCAGAATTTGAAACTGTGTATTTCACTATAATATTACTCTATTTTCCCTGTAGCACTTGTTACGTAGTAGCCGTATCAATAGCCATATTTTCCACAGTTAAACAAAATTATACACACTCCCACTATGCCATACACTGTAATATGAAATTACAATTTGGGTTTCTCCATAATTCTGGATAAAAGAATGTCGTTATACTTCCAACATGCCCATATCGTACATTTTGTTTCAATAACTTTTTAGGGAAAAGTCATATATACAGATGCTGTATGCTTACTTTTTTACAATTAGTAATATACTATACTGACAGGCAAACAATACTACTATTGTATTGTATTGTATTATGATTAAACTATATTTTATAGTGATTACCTTATTTCATATACAAGATACATAGTATATGTAAACTTACCATACAGTTGTAAAGTAACTGAAAACCCATTATATCCAATATCAGGAGCACCACAACAAAATACATCACTATTCTGAACAACAACGCCAGTAAAATTTCCAATAGCTGTGTATTTGTCACTATCATCATAATGCGTAGGAGACAGGAAGTCAGTTGTACCCAGTTTCCAGAATTTCATTTCATTATTTGCTACCACAGGATTCCCAATTATTTCACAGATGAAATATGTTTCTTCGCCAGGGTTTACTTTGTGATAGGAGAAAGCTTTATATGTGGGACTACCATCTTAACATAAAAAATAACATAAAGTGTTGATCATTTATAAGTAAAAGATCGAACATGGCATTTCATACTTCTAAGCAGGATTCGAAACCGCGTTGCATGTCGGGATTTTGTGTTTTAGGTTCTTATACGTGTCTAGCGTAGTCAATAACTGCGGATTTCAACTGATGGCTCATATCAGTGAAAAACATTCTATAATATTAATAGATAATACAGCTTAAAGTCATACCAATATAAGAGATTATATTTTTTTTTAAATCTAATGAAGGAGAATATGCAATGTTTCAAAGAGATGGCACTGATGGGGCAGCTGAAGACACGCATGGAACTATATTAGCCGAAATACCTACACATGGCATGGAATACTTGTAGATGCCAACGGTGACTAAACTTTGTAGTGTAATTATTGGGATGATTGTCTGATTGTGTCAGGTCTGCCAGAGTATCATTGTGAGGCACTAAAATAAACATTATCAGTACAATATATACATCCAAACGAATATATAATGCGATATGCAACACATGATTAGGACTTAAACAATTACGTTGCCACGGTGGCAGACATAAGAATAATGGATTCTGAGTTATTAAACATGTTGAATATTGAGAACATATGATATTGCACACTGTAAGGATGCGTGGGAAAATTACTATACTCATCGGATTTTGTATACGCTTTTCACTAATCTATTTGTGTTAATATAAAGCCAAGTTCTAAGTCCATACGGTATAACATGCATGTATACTGCCTGATGTTAAATATCACACGACTTTAGAGTAAATCCTATCAGTTTATAGCTACATAATCATAATCAATAGGATTCATCAGAATGCACTATCCCTATAAAGATCAGTTGGACAAACACCGGTGTTTTATCACATGCTGCATGTTTTTACAAAGACGATTATAGTTAAATAATTCACCATAAAAACCAGTGATTAGAAATACAAACCTTGTTGATAATCAGAATCGATAGTATCTAGATTTATCCATCCTGGTGCACAATCTTCAATTGGACAAACACCAATGTTCTTATCACATGCTCCATTGTTTTTACAATGACAATTACAGTTACATAATTCACCATAGAAACCAGTGATTTGAAATACAAACCTTGTTGACAATCAGAATCTATAGTATCTAGATTTATCCACCCTGGAGCACAATCTCCATTTGGACAAACGCCGGTGTTCTTATTACATGCTGCATTGTTTTCGCAATGACAATTATAGTTACATAATTCACCATAGAATCCATCCTGGCATGAGGACGGAACTTAAATAAACAAAAACAAATAAAACGCTATAGTCTTCTATTTGCAATGTTTATAGTGAATGTTTGAAGGTACGTAGAAATGCGCTACACAGCTTTGAAATAAACTGAAATAAACAAAAAACAAATAAAACACTATAGTGTTCTATTTGCGATGTTCATAATGAATGTTTGAACGTACGTAGTCTGTGGTGCATGTATGACAGAAACATTTACTGCCAATCTGCCATTTAATTATATTACATATTTCATTCCAACTTCAGATTCTGATGTTGACAAGTCTTATGGCATTTTGTATTTAAAAGTTTATTTTAAGACCTACAGTTGATGATTTGTAAACAGAAATAATTGGAATACATATTTGAACCATACAAGTACAGATGGCCACTGCATGCTATGTAATTCCCTAGCCAAATATAACGCATATAAAGCGCACAGTTACGTCCAACTTACATATATTATGTGCCATCATAGGCATACACTGATTACCACTACATCCTGTATCACAATCACCAGGACGGCTAATACATTCTCCTTTTGTAATTACACCCATTGGTAAACTGACATATGTGATGTAATATCACAGTCATACCTTTACACTTTTAGTTCTCCCCAGACTTCATGTCAAGCATCACGACAAATTTGCATAACAATGCATCTAATTTGCATATTTTTTATTTGCATAATAATCAGTTTGTCCCAACAAATATTGTCAATCTACAATTAATTAAAGACAAGATATTTTTATATCTGATAAATTTTATATCATTTTACTGCATTGTATTTTATGTTCTTGTATCAAGTCAAATAAAGTTTGAAATGGAACAGCATAAAATGAAAAAAAAAATGAAAGACTTGTGTTATAGCCAGTCAGTGAATATAATGTTATCCATGGATTTAACTGTTTCATCATTGTGTATAAGTATTATAGCCCATGTCAATGTTGGTTCATATAAACGTCGGGGAACACATTTTTTGGTTAAATTTATAAAGTCGGCAAGATATCGAAATATGTTGAAATTAATAAATCAATAATTAGAAAAAAATTCTACAATGGCAGTTCGGCGATTTTTCATTGCAATATACCTTGTGAGTACAACGCTACGATCACCGTAACATTGTCAGCTGACGGCATTG